GGTGTAATTGTACCCACAACTGTCCAACAAAAATCACTGACTTTTGGGGAGAGGAACCGTTAAAGACAGGATGGACGTTCTCCTCAAGGAAGTACTTACGAAGAGAACCGGAAAGCTGCGTGGACTTTTACATAGATAAAAATTCCAACACGCCCAACTGAAAGGGCTGTGATACAATGCGCGGAATCGCCAGACTGGATACGCCTATTACTTACATTGTTTTCCCACATATGCTGCTAAAATGTCTTGTGGTGGGGATATATGATTAAAGCTCGTGACGCATGCGAGCCGAGGCATTGCAAGTTACCTTAAAGTAATTTTTGCACCCATTTTGTTTCTCATTGAAGTATGTGGAGGAAAGTGTGGAAAAAATCTGAAAGAATATGATCAACTGTGGACATCGATCTGAATAACTGCACGGCTACCCGTCCTGGTTTATCAAGAGATAACACCTGAGGATGATCTTCATCCAGGTGATTAGTCATTAAAAGACCAGCGACAAAGCGACGTCACTGGGGTCGTCAGTAAAAGGATTTCTGCAAAATAGGTTTTGGAGTGCACTGAGATCATTAATTACTTAATGCGTGCTCCGTTTAATATGATAGTGAACAAAGTGTGTTTCATATGAGTGTTGCTGAAATGCAGGGAAGCTTTCAAATGACTTCGTTACATTCCCTTAGTGTCGGAAAAGGACTGTTCAACAAGGAACGCAATAGTTTTATAGCGGACTGGCGAGTGCACAATTTACAAAGGACCTCGCGGCATTTAAAGGGCACGCTGATCCAGGCTTTCCGATCGGCGTTTGGTGAACATCATCATTGACGGTGCTTCTATGACATGCCTGAACACTTATCGTCGTCGTTGGTTGCTGAATTGATTGATTGGTCGTCTGGATTCCCGCTGGCTTCCCCGGTATAGCGTACAGTGTGGATGAATGTTGTCCTGGGAGCATGTCATCCAACGACCTCAAGAAATCCAGCAAATAAATAGCCGTACTAAGAGACAGACAAGTCTTACGCGAGTATGACAGAAGTATCCATGCCGGATAACTTGCCACACTCTTTGGATCATAATGAACGCAGTTCTTCGAATGGCCGTAGTCAGCGAAATCGAGTGCCACAGTTGCACAGACAGCTCTTTTAGAGGAAATATTTAAGACGAGTGGTCCATCTGTATACGGTTGTTGAAACACAGCGCTCGATACCGAGGCTGCCAGGATTCTTCCTATAGACCTGTCAGTCCTATTAACTCTTCACCGAAACGCATCAAACCGCGTTTCGCTCAAACAAAACATATAGCCACCCGCATCATGGAGTGCTGAACCCGGATTAAGTGTACAAGTGCACGACTTAACGCTATAGCCAGACCTGTTTTAGATTCCGTACAACCGTGCATGGATAGGGTAACTGAAACGAAAGGAGTACTGCCAACAACATTCCATATTTTGGAATGTTGCAATTCTGCGATTTTCGCCTACAAAAACAAAGTTCATTGGAGCGCTTGTTTGGCAACTTGCCGAGTTCAACTTCATTTAGACTAGCCACCTGAGGTCCCATCAGTTTTGGAACCTATTTGCACTTTCGAATTGGTCAACTAGCTGGCCGGACCTCTTCGTACGCTATAGCCGCGCACTTAAAATAATTCTAATATTCTTAGCTTACTTTCAAGTAGTTAATAAATTGAAGAGAAATTCTGTCAGAACAATACAGGGATGAGATTCGCAGACACCTTCAGAATTTTGAAAGGATGATCCTAAGTGACAGGTTTCGTAAGGGGCTGTCTTACAAATGAACCAAATGGCCGACTGAAAAGACCTAGACTTTGAAGTCGACAATTGGGCAGAACGTGGAACCAGGTATATGAAGAAATTCCATACTCATGCCTCCCTCCAGATTTCCTGCATTTCTGAACATCGCTATCTCTGTTCCTTTCAGTAAGCCCGTGGTAAAACGTCAATATGCCAGGTGACGTCCACAAGCGTCGCACCAGTGATACAATCAACTTAACGGACATAAATATTCCAGAAAAGGCTTCTGTCTACGAACAGTTAATTTCACCATGAGCTTGAAGGAGCTCCTCGAAAGAGCTGAGCATGCCATAAAACATGCTGCATGGCTCGTTTTATCGTTTATATGGAAACACAATGTGGTGTTATCAGTCAAAAGAGTCGAATTAGTACCATATTAACCGTCAAGGATTTTTAAGTGCACAACGCATCCTTGAAGCAATTAATCGTTAGCGTTTCAAGAAGCATCGGGCTATACGCTACGAACGAATAGCAAAGTTCGTCTTGACTAGATGCCTGCTGATCGATCGTTTGAGTGTTGGTTCGTTCTAAGTCAGGCCAGGAAGAATCAGCACACTACAAAGCTCTTCGGGTGAGTGTTCTTCTCCTCCGGTCATTTCCAACAATCCAACTCCAAGTGAGTTGATAAACACGATCAACGTTTGGCAAAGCTGACGCCGGTGTTCCGATCGGCGCCAAAATACACAAGTCACCGATCACCCCAGTGTCAAAAAGAGCCTACGATTCGAACTACAAAGAATGCTTGCTGTCTACTTGACTTATGCACTTGAATAACGACTCAACTGCCCAATGCTCAAATTTGTACGCAAGTGCCGTGATTTGGACCCCGTATATGAAGTGGACATCATCAACATACCTGCGACTGCAAATAAGGAGTGAAATCACACACGGTGATCGAAGAGACATGACAGGCGCAAGTAACCGAAATCCAGCTTACTGAACAGGTGTCCAACCTGCCCAGTTTTCGAGGAAGTCAATTCCTATTCACACACAAGCATTTGTGCTTCATACGTGACTCATCAAAATTCTACAGCTGTCATTTTGGTATTTCAGTAGTAGCTTCATTCAAGCCTCTGTTCAGCATACGTATTTGCCAGAATCTTTTCAACTTCCACACCATCCATTAAGAGACTCACGTGAATCACCGCATGACCTTGTTGTTCGGTACACCGCTTTGAGAGTAGTGTTAGTTCGTTTGCTTAAAAATCGCACTCAAATGTCTTCTATTCCCGAAATTGAATCAGTCTTGTCTCAACTAATGTTGCCTCACAAACAATAGCATCAAGTTGGCCGTCGTGCACTCCAGAGTTGAGTACCACTTTTTTGACTACTTGACTAAGGTTTAGCCTGTTGTCCATCGATGAACAGACTATAAATTTGGTGAACTATCTGCTGATCGCGGAGGACTAATGTGATGAAACACAGTGATTGGTTGTAGCTATACGAGATCATTTATTGCCAGGGTCTGTGTAAGAGTCAGATGGACTCTGTTTGTAGATCTGGCATTTCTTTTCTCGCGTTCCCCACTAGGTCGATAATCTTGAAACCTACAGTTGTGTGCCACGAAGGTTCAGCGTATTTTCATCGAGGAACCTGCTATTTTTATCGGAGAGTAGTCTCTTATTTTCAAATAATTACAGTGGATTTCATGACTTTAGCTGAGCAAGACATTTATTTGACCCATGAGAAAGAGAGCTTTAATCAAGACGGGCTTTGCATTCATAAGAGTTGAATAATAAACTTGAAAAGAGAGATTTTAACAATATATCACTCTGGCAAACCGACTGACTCGTTCGGCTTTGAATAGGCACCTCAGAATAAGGAATGATATGAGTCCACACCAAACAGCTCAGATGTGTACGCTCATTCAAGGTAAGAAAAACCCTCGACAAGAAACTGGAGAGTGGAGAATGGGGTGACTAAGTCTGGTAGAGACGTTAGACCAGCCTCAAATAGTATTCCGATTCTCCGATGCAAACCCCAAAACCCGAAATCATAAGGGCATCATCGCCGAAAGCCACGTAACCAGAATTTTCACCTGGCCAGAACTTATGAGAGGTGGATATTAGAAGCACTTAAATGAATATTATCCCAGAATTCTCCTGTCATTATTTTTCACACGGAAATCACGAAGCTCTATCAAAGTGACAGGACCTTCTTTGGTCTCTGATATAACTACACTGTGGACATTCCACGGGTCACAGCATGTTTTGGCCCCAAACATAACGGTCACCGGTCTCTCTAAGAATAAAAGCAGTCAGATTTTCCTATTCCTGACCCCTGTCTGCTCTATATGTCCTTCCATCGGTAATTCATATGGTAGACAGGCGCTGGATTCGTAGCTATTGCTATAGGTCATTCGCCTGCCACCAGATTTCATGTCAGCTCAACTGAGGGTTCCTTGAGGAAAAGGATGGTCTCAGGACGCAAATACAGCAATTCACACTTTTATCATCCATTGTGTACGGCAAGTGCAAACTTGCTGGTTCGTGATCATTTCGGTCCGATTGTCTTGGGTAGGATTTACGATGGTAGGCGAGGTAGCAAACACTTTGAAATATGAGGTGGCGCGACCTGTACACGCCACCTGCCCGCTCGTTGTTTGTTGCTCCTCGTGTCTCAAGATTTGTTGCCTTTGCTGAGTACCATCCTGATGGTTTTCCGCTGACAGTCCGACGTCCGTCTCCTCTTCCTCCATACACTGTTTTGCTTGTTTCGGAGGTCTGATTAGACTTATCGCTTTCACCTTAGAAGGACTGCTAAACTGGTTGATCATAGCTGATTGCCATAAACCTCCCAAACCTATATAATGATCGTACATGCTGGAATGAGTTATTTTATGGGTACACCTATGGTATGATGCCGTCATAACCACTGTGTGTCTCAGCTCTCTTCTTCAACAACGAGGAGCTCGGGTGAGCCTTCGGTAAAGCAGGCTGAAACCTAATGTATATAACCACTACTTGGTATGTTGGAACATGCAGTGGTTCGATTGGCGGAAAAAACCTCAGTAATCAAACACATTTGGTGTAGAATGAGCAATCGTGATTGCTCATCCAGAAATGCCAAATGATCCAGCTTTGTGAGACCTGTCAAACCTTACTACCTGTTTGAAGTCATGCACGATAGCTATTGGAAACAGAATTTACGGAGCTGTCATTCATAAAATACAAGCTAAAGGTCAAAAACTCACTTTCGAATCTGGTGCTAAAGTCTCAAGCTTTTCGTATGCCTTCACAAGGCAAGTGTGAATGGCTTTCATTTCATCTTTGGTAAGAACCGGAGCCATTTTTTCAGAGGAATCCGGCTCACGAGTAACCGGACCATTTAAGGCTTCGGTAGATTTTCCATTTCTAACCGGACTAGATGCTGAACAATGAGATTTGCGTCGTCCATCAGGGGTAGCTCGTCGAGTTCGGAGATCGGCGGCGAATAAGAGGGTCGTCGTGGTGGTCGACGGCCTCTTTGAGAAGTTTTAATCCTTGCTTCAAGCCACTCAATCGAGCTTCTGAGATCACCCGGATAGTCTGACGTTTGATAGATCTGAATGGAGGGAAATATACAGAAAGTATAGACGAGATATGTTCACAAGAATGCTGCTATACTGCTGCTACATATAGCTGGTAAGAATGCGTAAGCAAGTCTTTTCCAGAGTATCGACTAACATCCTTGTGACATGCATATAGATGACCCCGTTGAAGTCCCTAATCAATAGAAACTTGAACTATTGCCACGTGAAACTCTTTAAAGGTGGAATCGTTGTCATCTTGATCCATGTCACCCGAACTGACAGAAACATACGTGTGATATGATATCGTTTCTTTTACTCTCTTCAGTGACAGTCATAAAAATGCAAAAGTATGCTAGAAACAATGTTGAACAGACAATGATTGATTGATTTCTGCAAGTCACCTTGCCAGTGCCAGGGCAACCAAATCGTTTGACTCAACTGTTTTGTGTACATATTGCAGGCTTGTTTGTTGTGATCACCAGTGCCTCGCTTATCGCTAAAACCTTGTGGTCTGTTTGATTGTGGCTTAACTACTCACCAGTCTGTGTTAGAAACAGCTTAAAACTTCGGTAACCATGGGAGTGTTTTAACAGCAGTTCACACATTATAACCTAATGTGTACTTCCACCTTGAACTTGGGAGGCTTATTGCAGCTAAAGTCGTTCGGACCATGTGACGGTAGTTAACGACCGATCGGTTCTTCGCATACAATTATTGTGGGTTTGATCTAAAGACGCCGAAAGTTTATAGGTGAATAAGACAGCAACTTCTGTTGCGCTTCGACGTTCAAGACCCTTCAGGTGGAACAAATGACCACGATAAAATTATAGAGAGATCTAGGCTTCGACCTCAGTACAGATAATATTTGATTGGGAACGACATCTATTTATGTGAGAAGCATAACTATAAACTAAAAATCAACTGGCATTTCCGATTCAGCGGTTTGTTGGGTACCACCTACTACATTACACATGAATGTACTCTTCCCTTAACCACCACATCATGTAACCTATTAAGTTGTACTGAGCACCTCTGGGACTACATTAAGTGATCGCAAGCTTAAGACGACAATAGTACGAGGAGTTTAGTTGTTGGTGAATTCCACATTTGGCTCCACCTGACAGTCCCGGTGCTTGGCTTGCAAGGCTGTAATCGACGTCAACGGTGTTCGTGCTGTTAGTCTCTTTACAGACTGTGTGAACGTCTAGAAAGTTATAAACCTAAGAATGCTTCAAGTAGGTTTTTACGAGGTGTTTCAATATCCTTTTTTTCTTTATTACTTCAGGCTATAGCTGTATATCATTGTAGGGCTGTACGACATCATTGTCAGGGCTTACGACGATGTCGGCAATGAAGTAAACCAACTTCTTTATCAGAATACCCTAGCGTGTTTGTCAGTTCGTCTGTTTTTGGCCGGTTAGATAGGCAGCAACACTCCAGATCGGTTTTACCGGAGAAAATCTGTCAACAGTTTACCTCTAATCCACATGGTCAACACAGGAAAACAGACCAACGTTGAGATGGCTTCTAAATCTAACAATAAAGCTTGATCAATGTTGCCGAAAGTAACCTGATCTGGAGTTGTAGCCAGTGCTAAAACCATCAGCACACATCGTTGAGAGCCTTAGCTTTATGTTTGGAAAAGCTTTGTATAAACACTAACGCTCACTTGGTCAGAAAATGGCACGTCAACCCCAATTCACTCTCAGCATAACTCATAAATTCTGACGAATCTGCTGACCCTATGTTGTGGATGTTTACCTAATCCCAGCCCACTCTATCGATTGACTGTATCCGTATGTCTCAGCAAGATGAAGTGGTTAGCTTTGCTCGTTCTTGGAAGACGCTTAAGTAGTTTGGTCGTTGAAGGAAATCGCAGAGGGCCAGCAGACGGACAAATCATTAGCATCTACACCTGTGAAGAATAGAACGGCTTGTGATCTATTCGGTTTCCGCATAACGCAAGCTGAGGTGCGCAGTTTAGATGTTGGATTACATGTATACTGAAATGGCTTATCTCACCCGAGCTAACGGACCAACGTGTTTGATTCGACATAATCGTTCAGAGAGACTGACTCAACAAACAAGCAGGCATCTTCAAAAAATTTCAGGTCTCTTCCTCTTTTTCAATCAGGCATTTGTGATCCGTGGACGAAAAACAGGTAACACCGATATATGATCAGCCAAACTGCGACCGAACATCAGGGTGGTCGTTCAAATGACCTAAGTCATTTTTGTTCCGTTTTTCTCCGATCGCTCGGTACTTTCCGAGGAAATTTTCCATTTTACCCAGAGTTTGTGTTATAATTGAGTCTACACAAGCTGTGCCTGAAAAAATTAGTGGGCATTTAATTCTTCCTCAGAGTAAATGTTTTTGTTAATTTTGATCCCAAGAACATGGCGGCCATTATACACGCCACTTCTCTTCTGAAAAGTCTTGCGCTAGGAGAAGAAATTGACAAGAGTCCAGTAAAATATAATTTCCCCTATTAATCCATTCTAAATGGATTAATTCTTCATAGTGTTCATTTTAACGCAATACAATGTGATATTGAAACACAGGTACCAAACAAGTCAACTAAACAGGCTAATCAATCGTACACCATCGGTCATTGCTGTCCAGAACATGCCTCTATTGTCGAGGTCATTGGACGTTTTGAATCATTCCCAACGCACTGGACAATGCTATACAAGACAAGTGCGATCGATGAAACATTCGCCTTTTTCCAAAACCACCCGCAACCACTGAAATATGGATGGAGTTTTCAATCAATTGGAAAAAGTTTGGAACCGATTGAGAAGTCATCGTTTCAAAAGAGCTTGGTAAACAATCAACCGTTTTTATTTGGGTAACGTTTCACTTTTGACACAAAAGCTTCATCAGGCCAAGTGAACAGATCACCAAATTGGCCAGGTTATAAGACAGACGGGGAACCAATCAGTAAGTCCTCTTCACACTAGATCAGTGTTGAGTGTCAATTAACAGCTCTTGTCGGCTAGCGTGGGTGTCAAAATCTTGAATTGGTGGGTTGGAGGAGTTTCAAATTACTTCCAATCGCTTTTCGTTCCTTAATCATCCCCTTCAGGGTGCTTCACTTGACAATTCAACCCGGGTGCCACTGGTAGATCCTTGATCATCGGGGGACGTGAATGTTACGACAATTTAGTTGGGGGGAGGGGAGGTGCGTAAGGTTAAGTGGAGTTCAGGTGATGACCACTCTTCCCTCTGATGATCGCACACCAACACGTGTTAGCTCGAATGACC